TTTTCCCTGTACAAGGAATATTCAGGATATATTCCATATTCGGGATATGTCAGCTCCATGCTTATCTTCCCAACCCTCTCTCATTGCATACTTCTCAACACAAATTGCCAGTAAGAACCAAAGGTGCCACTTTGCAACCACACATGGATTTTGCTGACAGTACTGCTCACAGATTTAGGATGGTTGGATTGCTACAACAGTATGGAGGGATGCTGGAACAGAACAATCTACAGTCCAAAATATAAAAAGAAAAATAAACAATATTAATACAGAGCCTCTGAATAAACACAGCCTTTGGTAGTTAAGCTAGGATGATCGCTACTAATTCTGTTTAGATTAATTAGAGAGTGTCCACCACAGGTGGAATTGTATTAAAGGAAACGTTCAGAAATATGAACTAGATACTGAATTCAAATAGTTACAAATTTATCTAAGTTATTTTACACCTCTGAATAAAGGCCCAGGTAAAGTGGGCCATCAGGAGAGAGGAAGCAGGTCTAGCAGATGAGATATGGACCAGAGAATACAAATTTAAATTTGCAGTAAGACTTTACTGAATATTATTAACATTTCTAAAATCAAGATAGGTACTGATGGAAGATAGAAGTCCTAAACGTAACAGACAATTTCTCCAGGAAACTTCCAGGAAGATTACTCTTTCAGACTGTGAAATTGTCTTACTATTTCCAAGAAGCAAAATGTAAAATGAAAAAGCCTTCTCTGCAGCATACTTTGCTGCAGAAGGTTTATGGTCTCCAAAATATTCACCTTCCAATGAAAAGAAAACAAACTGCCTCCAAGGAAATGAGGATAAAATATTTTGCAAACTGAGTGGATATCAAGACACAAGGACAAAGCTGCCTCCAATTTTTACAGTTTCTCCCCAACCCAGCTGTATTGAACAAGAATCAACTATCACAAACATTCCCTCACAAAACTTTGTGACATCAATTGGTCATTTCTAGAGACCATGTTTCTGAAGACCACTGCAATACAAATATCCTAAAGAGTACCTTCAATCCTATGTGGAAAGTCAAGAGCCAACACCTGAGGTCATTGTTGTAATAAAATTATCCTTCTGTATAATTGGGTTGAATTAATTGGATTTTGATTTCTGATTTTAGCACTAACATGTAAATGGGTAAGGAATAATAAAGATGCAATTCATATTTTGTATTATATTTAAATACTCAACGTTTTACATGAAGTTAATTACCTAGGTATAATTGTTTCTAATTTAAAAGTTTTGTTCTAAAAATGCAAAAGTAATTCTAGCAAGAAGCGTAACAACATTGCATGTTATACTTCATTACGGAATATTTGATAAATCTGAATAGATTTAGCTCAAAGGAGCTAAAATTTCTCCATTAGCATGTAACACAAAACCAAAATAATTTAATTTTAATTTCAAGTATATAACATGTTTAATTTTGCTTTATTTAAAAAATCCTTTCCCCCCCCTCCAAAAAAATCTCAATTTTAGAACATTTTTCTGACTCTGATTCATAGCTCAAAAGGGTGAAATCAACACTTTACATAATTGATTTTGTTAGTTGAAACACATCTGACAATCATTTGCTCTGCACAGAACAGCTAAGAAATCTGGTAAGGGAGGCAGCAGGTTCCTAAACAAAGCCTTCTGCAAAAAGCAAGGCAGAATTGGGAATTTTGCTTCAGCTTGCTATAAATGTGCTAGATGAATGATGTGTAAATTTTCTCTAAATACATTAGTAACAGTCAAGTTCTCCTTGTTAAAAATGCTATGCCAGGTAATTTTTACTTACAGTCTGAAATAATTTCATAGGAGAATGTGAAATGTCTTATAAATGAAAAAAAAGCTAGTATCTCAATACAGGAATGCAAAGACAGTTCTGTATATTCAAATGGAGAAAAGCACCAGAGAGGAAAAGAACTAAACACTGAAAGGCAGCATACCTGAGGCAGTGCTGGATGCAAATACTCCAGAGATAGTGCTAGAAATACGAGAGGACAGGAGCACTGCTCTGCTGTTCTGTATGCTTCACCTAGCCAAAAACCATCTTAGCTCTTTTGACAAAAATAAAATTCAAGTTCTCAGTGATTTCACTGCTTTGATGTTTTGACTTTCTTTAAATATTTGTGGCAAACATGCATTGCTTAATTATTATTTTCACTCTAATTTAATCATAAAAAGTTTAGGACTTAGTAAAGTTCATAATTTGAGTATTTTATCATTCTAAGTATAGGATTTAGTTAAAATATCTAACTCAAGGAGAACATCGAGTAAAAATCAGATTCTCAATAGCATGACTTACAACAAAAATACAAATTATGAGGGAGCACTCAGCTGCAAATTCTCATTTTTTAGGTTTTTTTAAATCTTACAGATATTGAGTAGTTATTTTCTTATAGAAATTATTTTGTCACATTGCTTTTTTATTCCTTCCAAGCATATTATTCTCCTAAAAAACAGGAGTACATGTTTGGTTCTAAACATAATACTATAAAACCTCTTTTCATTCAACCCAAATCTAATACAGCCAAGTACAACAAACCAGTGAGTTGTCTGCAATGGTTGGGATATACTGCACTGTTGTAGTTTGATTGATTATTATGGGGGCCATAGAGTAGGTAGTTCCAGTAAAGAAAAATGACAAGAACATAAATATTATTCTGCTAATGCAATTACTGAATGAATACAGTAACTTGCTCAAATCAAATATTTGCTGGAATCTATGTAAATAAGAACTACTCTAAGCCTGAAACTCAGACAAAACTCTAAACCCTGTCCTCTCTCAAAGTAATTCTGCTGAGACAAATTAATTATAGGGAAATAAGATCAAAATATTTTTCATTTTCCAGTAGGACTCAGAAAAAAAAAAAAACGCTTCTTCATTTCTTTTCACATCTGCTGTAAAATTATTTAATTTCCATGATATTTAGGACCGTAGTTAAGTAAATGGCATGCACACATGGTTGGTTCACTAAAGTACCAGCTCGATTCTCCCTGAGAATCTTTAAACAGATAATAACAAAAATTAGGTGAGGTGTTTACATGTAAAGAAAAAACAGAAATACTGTATGTTCAAATTGAAAGATAAAAAAATATGAATTACCTTTTTACTTCTTTGGCATCACTTGCAATGAAGAATCCTAAAGTACCTTCTTGAATCTTGACATGGTTTCCAGGATTGATTAATATACTGCTCAGTGAAACAAGAACAAAAACAACAAAAGCATAAATTTAAATTACTTTTAACTGAATATTCCAAAACAGCTTTATTTGGTTCTGTTATAGGGGACCCACTAGTTAGGAAAGGCTGCAAGGAAATTTTAAGCCATTCTTCCTTGAAATTTCCAATCAAGTAACAGTTTCACATACTTTTTACAAAAACTTAAGTTTGAGACAGTCACATGCCTCCGCCTATAATCACATCATTTATGCGTTTACATCTGTTTTCTTATGTTTTTGCATTAAAAACAGACTACATAAAATAACAAAGCCTCTCGGAAACATGATGTGTGAAGCTGAGCATTTCAGCTTTCTTGATCTGTCATGCAAACGGTGAAAAATTCACAATATGGTGAAAAGGGAAGAACCAGCAACCACTATTTGATAACAATACAAAATATCATTTATGAAGCTAAATCCTTTGATGTAAATTTTTGCCAATTTCTACTGAAACAGAATGTTAATGGGACCCCTATCTGAACATACAATGTTATTGTTTAAAATAATAAATACACACATACACTCAAGGGGAATGGTACAAGACAACCAGTCACGATAGCTGAAAAAAACATAAAATGAATAGAATATTTTTAAAACACTGCTATGCAGCCATGGAAGAACAAAAATAAGCCAACCACACTGACAGAATAGCCTCAACTTAATTTGATGAAGGAAATTATTAACTACCATCCAGAACTGAGATACTCCGTTGTCTCTCTAAAAAATATGGGTTTTATTTTCACAATAATTTAACACTAGATTTGAGGTAAGGCAATTTGCAAAGTACCAAGCTAAATATGAATATAAAGACAGATACAGATTTAAATATATTCTCCAGTAAGTTGTATTAATGTGTAATAAAACTAAGCTTCTGACTTGCTAAAACTTAAGCCTGTCAAAAGGTGTCTCTTTTTTGTCTTTCATTAAAGCTCAGCGCTTGTAAGTCAAAACATAGTAATAGCACACATAGGCAATTTACAGTAAATAAAGACTACCAGCAGTTTAAAGACTTGCGGATCTAGCAAAAAAATGATTTTGGGGAAGTATATATAGAAAAATAAATGAAGCACATTTCGGAACAGACATACATTACTAAAATTTGAGGGCCAGAAGTCTTGCATGTTATTGTTAGGAGGGAAAATGAGTCGCAGCAAATCTCTTATTCAAGATGTCATTTATTATCTATACATTAGTAATAGTGTGACAAAAGATATACCTGAAAGCCTTATAATGAGCGCATTGTTTTGTGTGATTACACATGCCCACAAGGCCCTATGGAAAAAATATGCAGGCGGCAAAATAAAGTGCTCATGAGTTAAGAATTAAAAGGTTGGTCATGCAGCCATAATTCAGTCCCCGTTATGTAGACATAATGATACAATTCTTAATTTAATAGCCACGAAGTATTTTTTTTTTCCTCACAATCTGTAACTTCATTCAGTGGTGTTTTACTGCCATTACTCCAGACATGGATTCGTGTAGTTTATCTTTCTTTAAAAATCAGCATTATATTTTTCTTATGTGTTTTTCTGCAGTGTTCATCACTATAGCATGCAAAAGATTCACAAATACACAATTTATTTTCCAAGAAGAATGAAGATATAGTATTATCCCATTTTACAGATGAGACATTAAGTCACTATGAGATATAGTAGCTATTAATTTGGGATGCCTACAGGCCATTTTTTGTAAGTATTTAGCATTGCATAGCTCCACATACACCTTCTAGGGACTTTTGCTGTAAGAATGCTCAGCATTTTCAAAAGCTCAGCCTCTGGTTCCCAAAGTAACAAACGCTTAATCAGAAGTCATCTGTAAAAGGTTTGGTTTAAATTATTAGTTCACTCTCACACAGATAATCTGTGGTAGAGGCTGGAACAGAAATTAAATCTCAAAGAAAACATTTACCCAGATATCCCTCCTTTTCCTTCATTCACAGTTTCAAGCTTTGCAACAAAAAGAAGAGGAGAACTACAGAAAATGGACGTCATCACCACAGAAAGCAGGTTCATCCCCACAGCACACTTCAGTAGTATTGCAAAAAATGAAATGTGATGGTGTAAATAACACCTACATTATGCACGCAGATAAATGGGATGAAGTTGCACAGCTAAACTTCACGTGGTATTTCTTTTGTTAGTGTATTGGGCTTAATGGTTGTGCTTGCAACCAAAACATTTACCTAATGGAGTTTTAAAATGGAATAAAACTGATAAGCAAAAAACCCCAAACAACCCCACAAGAATTTCTTCACATGAAACCAGTCACTCAAGCCACAAACAGATTGCAAAATTTAGATTCCCTGCACAACCTTTTGTCACTGGAGGCAACAAAGCACTTAGTACCTGTTACAGAGATACTTTAGCAGGCCACCACTAAGGGAGATGAGACATCCATTCCACCAGTACACTCACAGAAAAAAAGTTGAGAATCTTAAACCTGTGAGCCTAGATAAGTCACTTCTTAAGAACCAGGAGAGAATCTTTCTGCCAAAACTCTCTAACATCTCCTTAACTGCATCTGTGTTTCAGTCTCCACCTTTCCTCTTCCCTGTCTGCTAATCCTTAATCTGCCATTATGCTGAGAATTTCGCTGTTAAAAATCTTCTACAGATGCTGGTCTCATTTATTTCCACTATACTGTTCCTTCTAAAATATGTGGAGACTTGTACTATGCTTAGGGTTGGCTATTTTTCTCAGGTACAAATGGGTACTACTCTGTCAGAATAACACTTTCTTTGCCCTTATTTTGTTCTTTGCCCTTAACCATGGCAGTATTACAGTTTTTCAGTGAAAACAGATGAACACATTCCTTGACATAGACCCACCTTCCCCCACCCTCCCCCATCCCATACTTGGAGATGAATGAACCATACCCAACTAGTAAAAAATCCTAACAAAAGCTCAACAACCTGAACTCCACAAGCTGAGCTAACCACTAAATACGTAAATGTTCATTCCCCCTGATAGAACTTACAATTTGACAAAGTAATAAGCAAATGAAGCAGTGCTTTTAAGGTGTAGTGAACATAATCTTAAATCAGAAGTAACCGGCTTCATTTAGGATGTAATGTATTGTGTGTATGATTTTGTATCTCAAGGTTTTCTGAGACACATTAAATCAATTCAGATGGGTCAATGTATAGACTTTATTTTTGTCTGATATTATACCTTATTCACATATACTTATTTTCACTAATACAACGTATTTATAGCCACAAAATATAGATGTGATCGCAGTTAATGCAGTATGACCCCAGCAGCAAAATCTTCTGTTGGGAATAAAAAATAATTTGCCCCATCACTGCTACTGGCAAAGAGTTACAGCAAAGGCTCATAAAGCTTTGGGTTTATATACACACTGATATTTAACCAAAGCAAAATCACAAGCAATTTCTACTGGGTCTATATGGATTTATTAAATAAGCTGCTTATTAAAGCAGCAATTGATTTATTTCTTATGAGACTTGTAGTGTCATTAGCTAAAGTTATGCTTTGATAAGCACTCACTCTAATATGTACAGCAAGGGAAATGTTTTGAATTAACAGAATGCAGGGAAAACAGAGGACAGAGAAAAAATAAAACAGGCTTATGAGCATACCAAGAAGAATGCATCGATCGGTTATTTAGAGATGCATTTGTATGCTTAAGCAGCTCATGAAAATATGCATATATATATCCCCACAGTTCAGAAGATAAATACATGGCAAAGTAAATTGGAGTTTTAACAGAGCTTCAACTAATGTCTCATTTTTATGTATCTTCAAGGCTGGGGAGTTTTGCAGGTATAGGAAGATGTAGGAAAAGGGACAAAAGGACAGAAACTCATTACATTTAATAGCAATATATATAGATAATCTGCATTCTGTGCCATGCATTGGAAAAAATGTTGTTGAAAATTACATCCCCGATTTTTCCAAATATATGTTTTTATCATAAAATATAATTTTATTTTTTAGCTCCTAAACCAGCTCATGAAATCAAGCAAGGAATGCCATATACTTTAAAAGCTTCTAAGATCTTGGTCAATTTTCTATAATTTTGTAACATTTCTAGTTAAGGTTACCTCAGAAACTATCAAGTAATAGCAAGCTCAAAAAACTTTAAGTCATAATTTCCTTAACAATTCCAGTTCCAGAAACACATTCCTCAGGACAAAGCTTTTCAGGACAGGGGTCACATGTCGCTGCAAAACCAAAGACTATCTTTTTACTTGCTTGCTCCTCCACCCATGAACATTTAGAACACCTGGCAAGTACAGCCATGTAAATTGAATATGTGTAAATTAAATCTGATTTAATGTGTTTAATGGGAAATTAATGTACTTCACCAGCAAGAATGCAGGAGAAGCCAGTTCCATTACCCTATGATAATACAACAATTGGTAAGCCACTTGTGGAACAGAATATGAAGTTTGGAAACCTTTGCTTTACACTTATGTGATGTCTAGCAAAAGTTAGTCGATTTGCTAAACAAGATTCACTTGGTGACTAGATGCAAGATCACGCATCTAAGAGCAACAAAAATGTCACCTATTGAAAATGTAGAAACCACCCTTGAATTCAGTAATCATAGAATGAATCATGGAATGGTTTGGGTTGGAATGGACCTTTAAAGATCATCTAGTTCCAACCTCCCAGTCACGGTAAGGGATATTTTTTACTAGAACAGATTGTTCAAAGCCCCATCCAACCTGACATTGAACACGAAGTTCAGGAAAGAATCGGGAGCAATAGTATTGATACACAGTATCAATCTGAGTTACCAGGCTGACTGAAATATAAGCAGGAGAAGCATAAATGGGAATTAGTGCACATTTGAGATGCACAGTTTAAAAGAAATGAAAAATTCAAATGTGGTCAGAAAAATTCTAGACGAATCCTTATATATCTCCTTACATAGATTGTTCAATGAAAAGTTAAGATAGTGCGTGATGACTTTTTCATATGTCAGAGGAGAATAGCTATCTGT